TTTATAGGGGTAAGATGATTGACTCATAGTCATATTTGCATACTGATAACTGTGGTTAGGTGGGTGTATTTCTCACAATAACCCTTGGTTATTGTGTTGTTATCTGGCTCCCAAAGCCAGACGCAGCTATCACGACCAGCATCCATTACGATCACCCCTGGTAGTTATCACTTGAGCAGGGTTACAGGAGATAAAGGTCAGGTTGGGCGGGGGAGCACACCGTCACACATGGTAGTTAATTCAGAGTTCAAAGCTTCTATCTGATGCATAGCGGATATATTAAGCAGATAGATTTAATAAAGCCTCTCTGGCATTAATTCTCTAGCAATAATGATGTACTAAAGTGAATTGGATCCCTACTGCAATACTGACAGTTGATTTGTAACTATGTGCAGTATTAATAGCTATGAACACTTTCCTGAAGGACATGCCTTCAAAGGCCACAAGAAAGTAGATAATTAAATACGTTTAAATATGAATTCGTTTGCTGCAGTTTGTGGTTTAAGGCAGAACTTCTCTTCATCTTTATTGATGTTCAGGATTCAATCCCTCCATGCAAAGAGGAAGTTAAATGAACTCTACAAAACTAGGCTAAGGCAATACAAGGCTCAGAGCTTGCCATTAGGAGGAATGGAGGATGGATTGGAGGAATCACAGGAGTAATCCAAGGCCATGGTTGTTTTGCTGCCTTTCTCCCATCCCAGCAATCTGCAGTCCTGCATAACTACCTCCTCTGCCTATTTGCTGAGCTGGACCCAGCTCTGTGAATGAACTGACACTGAACTAAACACACATTTAGGCTATAATATTACATACTGGGCAGAATCTAACCAAGTGAAGCAGGAGTGGCATGCTGGGTTATTTGCATTAACAATAAGAAGTAAGGTTTAAAATGGCATGAATGTCTAAATGGGTGGAAAGCCTGTTATATACATACTGCAGAAAGCATTCAAACGCTGTTAATCCTTTATGGAAAGATTACATAAATGTGCCAAGCTCAGTGTCAGCATCGGTGGTCTGGGATGCAATTGCCCGTTGCACAAACGACCAGCAGTTTAAGTCTTTATGAACAGCTGCTATTATCTGTGTCCAGCGGTGCTACGCCCCGATTTTTTTTTTTTTTGCTATATCTTTTCGGTAGCGTAGTCTTTCATTACGAATCAGAGATGAACACAGAAATGCCAGCCCAGCTCCTCATCCGAGCTGTACCGTACCCAGGTCTGAAAGTCAGCATGTTGCAGGCTGTGCCATGAGGGAGCTCCCGGGGACACAATGTCAGCCCTTTGCGCTGACGGGCAATGGCTTAATTTCTTTACAGCTAAGGATGGGTGGCGTGTTGCACTAAATGAGACAGGAGGAGCGCTCTCTACGTCCCTTCGCGCCCACACGGCACCAAAGGGCGCCAGGGACCCATCCCCGGGCAAAAGCCGCCTAGAAGGGCCACCCCAGGCCGGCGGGACCCAGGGCGGGTGGCGA